TTAATAATAGAAACTTTAACTTTTTATTAGGATCTCTAACAAAAATTTGAAACATCCCGTTTATAGAATCAGCAATAAATACAAATAATAAACTAAACCTTCCAACATTCCAAAGAAAATGAAGTTGTTTGATCGAATATTAAAAACGTTATCCTACTTTGAAGTGTGCCTAAATATTAATGGGAATCATTATATCTCTTAAGTTTTGATCAATTATCAAAATAGTATAATTACAAGAAATCAGAATACCAAAAGTATACTACACTGAGCGCAGTTCATATAAACGCACGTTGAAAGCTAATGATTTTTCTCGATTATTTGAAAATAAAGGCCAACTAATGTTATAATGGTGCATTTTGTTCGCTTGATCCTTACTTTCGATATTTTTTTCTGTAGTTTACTGTCTGTAACACGTAATATTAAGTAGCGTAATGAAACATACAAAGGAGTCCATAAATATTCGTACACATTTCGAAATTAAATAACATTCTTAATATTGGATTTAACAAATGAATTTTTCAGATGTTAGAGAGATTAATTTACTACATGATTTCTAACATGAAATTAAAGAAAATTATTATAGACTTACAAAGAAGAAGGTAAAGACGATAATTTTTATTCGACTCTGTAACGTAAATCGGTTTTAATGAAACTTTGTACATGCATATGTATAAGATGTACAAAAAAGATGTTTTAATTTTTTATTACAGAGTGGAACAAAATTATAAAATCGTGTCCTTTCATTGTTTCTTTGCAAATTCGACCTATAGGCATTTTCCTTAATTTTTTGTTATACATTATGTAATAAACTAATCTCGTTAACATGTAAAAAGAATCCATTCGTTGTACAAATATTTATGGACTTCACTATATTTAATAGTCTCCAAGTGCGAAATTCATATAAGTGCACTGTTTTTTCCTCTAATCTTTAGAAGAATAAAAAAGAAAAGGGTTTTGTGTAGCTGTTTCGTGTTTAGAATGTAGTAATCTATTTGTTTCGGTCAAAATACAAAGAATAACTAAATGGAGGTTCATAAATGAAGGTGAAAGGGCTATAATTACTATTTTAAAAAACGTGAGGAAATCGAATAGAGAAATTGTAAAAGAAATTAATTGTTCCGAGTGTGTGGTGCGAAGTAATGAAAAATTGTAGCACAAAAACAACTAAAAATTAACATACAAAATTAAAAAAGAACAAAGCAAAAGAAAAGAACGCACTCACACCTGAAGCAATAAAAAACACAAACATCTAGTGGACTTCAAATTATTGCAAAACTTTAACTGCCAATAACAAGCTGACCTATATGTACAACAGATCTCGCATGTTACTGCAGACGTTTCTGAGAAGCCACACAAAAATCGATGCCGAAGGCACAGTATATTTACGTGCGTTTATAGGAATTTCGCTCATTGTGTAATCAATGCAATTACGTACTGCATTGAATAACATTTTACATAATGAAAGACGTGTGATACTTACTAATTTCTGGTGCCCGATAAAATCTTGATACCAAGTATGGTGTCATGTCGTTCTCGTGAGCATGAGAGGCTGAACCGAAATCGCAGAGTTTCAACACTAGCTTGCTTTCACTGACTAGAATATTATCCGGTTTGATGTCAGCATGCAGAATATTTGCACGTTTTAATAATTTGAGAGCAAGGAAAAGTTGCTGCGTATACGATCTTACCGCTTTTACATGCAAACCAACGTCTTTGCCATATTTTTTTAAAACCTAAACAAATTCGTCCATGTAACAAACAGCAATATACGAAAAATAAATGTGTAGCGAATATTTACCTCTCTTAAATTCATAGCTAAAGGTTCGAAAACCATGCATAAGTGATTCTTGTGAAAGAAATGCCTAAAAAGTCTTAGACAATGAAATCTGTCTTCTGGATCTGCGTCGTTAAGTTTCCGAAGAATTTCGAGTTCCTTAAGGCCAGTTTTATGCCTAAACAATATAGAAAAGAATAATCATTAATTAGGATATAAGATATTATTCATTTTGGAAGAAGAATGTATTTACATTATTTCATTGTTTCTTATTATTTTCACAGCAACATCCAAATTGCCTCTAGCAGTGTCTCTGGCTCTTACAACGTTACTAAATACTCCCTGACCGGTGTATCCATAGACAACATATCTATTATCTAACGTTTCGCCTACACGTACTCTGGAATAGAATGGCGAAATTTTTATTTGAATACATATCGTACAGAATGCTAAAGTAGTTAATATCTTTTTACCTATAATATCCTTCAGCATCATCCCAATTGTCTGTTAAACTTGGATTGTCTGGTCCACCTTGTCGTTTTCCTTCAACGGTGGGACTCTATAAAATAGAAAAATAATATAATTCGAAAAACAAGCATAAAACTGACAAATTACAAAATTGAAACGTACATTAAAGTCACCAATATTGTCTGCCTCGGCGAACATGTCCCACTCGTTCGACTTTTTCGCATTCTGTTTCTCTTCTTGCTTAATCTTTTCCAATGGTTTCGCATCTTCGTTCTTATCATTTTCTTCTGGTGGTGCTTCTTCAAATCTAGATTTCCTTTTCTTAATTTGTGGTGATTTTGGTTTTTCGGGCAGTGGTGGCGTATGACTCTCGGAAGTGGATTCATTATTATTAGACGGTACTTCTACTGACTTTTGCGAACCGTTCGATTGACTCTCTGAAGGCGGAGTAGCAGGAATGGTGTTTATATCAGCAGACATATTTGAATCCTCGTTTGGCCCGCCTAATCTCTATGGTAGATCAAATATTTTCGTGTTAATTTCAAATCTTACTAATATATGAAGAGCAAGCGTTTTAGCAAAAATCTCAAAACCGACTGAAGTATTTACATCGAAAATTTGGAGTGACTGAATAGGAATACTTCCTTGTGCTTCCATATGAGGGGCTAAACGTCATTTTTCAACCAAATTGTAATGTAAACTACGAAATAGGACATATGAAAACGTGAAGTAGGTCTTAACTCATCTATCTTGGAAACTGATATGGCTTTTACCTCTTCATATAGTGACTTGTTTCATATAGTGAGTTGTAACGGGAGAAAACACGCGGGCGAAGCCTCGACGGAGGCCGATGGCATCAAATAAAAATAATTCTCAGAAAGTTAGCATACCTTAAGAAGTTCCTCTCTTTGTTTTCTTCTACGTTCGATGATAGCTTCTTCATCCTCCTCTTCCTCAATGTCAATATCCTTAATGTCCTCTTCGCTTGAACTTTCTGAACGCTCCGCTTTCAGTCCTTCCGATAAAGAGTCTTTATATTTATCATTACGTTCTCTTTTACCATTTTTCTCTCTTTCCCTATCATGATCCCTCGTATGCTTATCCCGATCTCTTCTATTTCGGGACAGAGATCTAGAGCGTTTATACCGATCGTTTCGATCTCTGTCCAATCTATTCCTAACAGGACTACGAGATCTTCTTGTGCTTCTTGAACGCTCCCTAATCCTATCGCGATTCCGGCTATCTCGTCGATCTCGTATGTCGTTACGATCGCGACTATTTCTAGCATCCCTAGTATGACGATCTCGACTAGCATGACGCTCTCTGCTGTCCCTTTTGTCACGACTACGTCTGTCTCTGCTGGTCGGTCTGTCTCGACTACGGCGATTGTGAGTGGCTGGCTGATCTCTGTTGCTGGCTTGACGATCCCGACTAGCATGTCGGTCTCGACTGATATGACGGTCTCTGCTAATATGTCGATCACGACTAACGTGGCGATCCCGACTTGTATGGCGATCTCGACTAACGTGCCTGTCCCGGCTAGCGTGCCTGTCACGGCTCGCATGTCGATCACGACTATTCTGTCGTTCACGACTCTCTGTCCCATCGCGACTATCGCGTTTAGATTTATCAGCCCTATCTAGTGACTTCAATTCGTTACGAGATCTAGAATTATGATGATCGACGTCTCGTTTCCGCTCTTCTTCCCTGGAAATATGAAATACTTATTAATAGCAAATTCGGTAGACACCCAGGATAAAACTTATTTTCATTTAATTTACCTTTTATCTTGTTCTCTTTTACGCGACTCATCTCTCTTGACAGGATCTTTGCGTTTATCGTCTTCGACCCGCCTCTTACTATCTTCCTTTCGGGAATCCTCTCTGTGTCTATCACTAGGTTTTCGTATTTGCCTCTCATCTTTTCTGCTATCTTCTCTCCTAGGTTCCTCTTTAGTACGGGCTTTGTCATCCCTTCTTCTCTCCGATTCTCTTCGTTTATCTTTCTGTTCTTCCCGACTCCTACGATCCCTACTCATATCTACCACTACACGCCTTTCAGGTTTCATTACTTTTTTGCGTTCTCTACTACCAGACTTACTCCTAGCACGTTTCTTAGGGGGTATATTGTCATTTTCGCTATCATCTTCTACGAGTATAACATCAGGCGTTTCAGTAGCTTTTACTTCATCCTGATCTGGTTCCTTATCCTCCTTTTCAGATTCATCTGAGAGGTATTGCACTAAACATGCTTGCAACCGTTCCTATGACAACATTACACGAATTTTGAGTTACACAATCGAATCGATTGTATTGAATATAGAACCTTACCTTTTGTTTCATTAATTCTTCTAGATCAATGTCATCTTCAATAATTGTACAGTCTACCTCATCCGAATCTAAATCTACTAACTTTTCATCTTCGCTCTCTTCAGTAGAAACAACTTCTAACAAAGAATTTTTTACTTTCCCATTTACACCTAAATCCTTTTGAACTACGCGTGATGTTTTGTCGTCCACTGCACCATTCTCAACTTCTCGTTCTTTCTTCGGTCGTTTATGCTTCTTATGCCTTTTCCTTAGATATATTTCATGTTATTAAATATTTTTTAATCAAAACGAAATGATACATGCATACTATACATACCGTTCTTGGCGTTCTATCCTACCGTCTTCCCTTTCAACTAATTTATCCTTCTTGTGCTTATGATGCTTATGTTTTCTCTTCTTTTTCTTTCTTTGGTCAACTAACATATCGGAGTCAGAATCTAAGTCAACCATATCTCTCTTAGATTCTATACATTCTAAGTCTGATGTACTGAAATGTTGAATAATTAAAACTTAGATGAATAGAATTATCATGTAACGTTTATCTCATTCGATTCGAAAATACAGGCTATTACGAAACGCGGATGTTACAGTATGCGAAATCTAGGTTATTTCTTCGACAATCTGCTACTGGACAAAGAAAAGTTTTAATATAAATTTACTTAATCGTTGCACAGGACGTTGACAGTACTAGCTATTCGTTAAAGTAACGCTACGTTTAACTCGTAAAATGGGTAAAAGATCGAAGGATAAACAAAAGAATATAAGAATGCACGATGTAAACAGACTACCTTATACATCCATTCTAGGTATGAAAATGTAAAGCTTCTTGGTACGCGTAATAAGGTTTATTGAATTTTCTGACTTACCCCATGATTATCGTTTGTAAATTATTTTTAAGAAAAAAACTATAGAATCACTGCACAAAACAACTACACGTATGAACTCATTAATGGGCCGCCATCTTATAGATTCGATAATGTCACCTCGAGGCATCGAGATATCTCGATGATATGATCGACAAGGCTGCTGTTTGTCTACGGCTTCCGGCTTTTCAGTGGCTCCCGGTGCGCGTACGAAGTGTGTTTGTGTGGTTAGACATTCCGTTCATTTAGATGACTTTATCGTCTTTGCAAGTGAATCTCATAATATTTAATCGAACATTATTGTGATACCAAATAACGATTATGATTAGACTACGGATTTTATGCATTTATACCAAAATGATGTACAATGTCAGAAATTCATTAAATGTCCAACGGCACACAGAATATCAAAAGCATATTATGATTTTTAAAATACAACAGAGATTTCTATTTTGATTTCATTTTTTAAATTGACATTAATAATGGTTTATTTTGCATAAAGATCTGTAGTCTAATTATTACGATAATTAGATAGTGAGTGAATGAAATTAAGCAAGAATAAGGGATTAATCAACTGTCACTTGCAGTTCGGCAGGCTGGATCCATTGGTAAGTTTATCAAAAATTTTGATACATTACCACGAAAATGTTCATTGGCATCATACAATTTCGATGCAGAAGTTTTTATTATCATGACTACGTTAAACTTGTGAACAAAATCAGTTTAAAAAATGCTAAGAATTATTCCTCGCAACGTAGACGAGGTATACGTATGGTGACCATATTTTTGCGAGCGAAATCGAGGACAGAAAAGAAGGTGGAAATTATAACAACACACAAACGGCAAAAATAACAAAATTCTTGTATTTGTGTTATTTCGTAAATTATTTATTGAAAGGTGGAAAAAAAGAACTGTTTAAGAGAAAAAGAACAAGAAACAAAAATTAAGTGTTCATGTTGTAACAAAATCATCTCGGAATTTGTCAATCACGAAAATTTACAGAGTTAAGCGGCCATTTTCTACAAATATCTGATTATTACNTCACTGCACAAAACAACTACACGTATGAACTCATTAATGGGCCGCCATCTTATAGATTCGATAATGTCACCTCGAGGCATCGAGATATCTCGATGATATGATCGACAAGGCTGCTGTTTGTCTACGGCTTCCGGCTTTTCAGTGGCTCCCGGTGCGCGTACGAAGTGTGTTTGTGTGGTTAGACATTCCGTTCATTTAGATGACTTTATCGTCTTTGCAAGTGAATCTCATAATATTTAATCGAACATTATTGTGATACCAAATAACGATTATGATTAGACTACGGATTTTATGCATTTATACCAAAATGATGTACAATGTCAGAAATTCATTAAATGTCCAACGGCACACAGAATATCAAAAGCATATTATGATTTTTAAAATACAACAGAGATTTCTATTTTGATTTCATTTTTTAAATTGACATTAATAATGGTTTATTTTGCATAAAGATCTGTAGTCTAATTATTACGATAATTAGATAGTGAGTGAATGAAATTAAGCAAGAATAAGGGATTAATCAACTGTCACTTGCAGTTCGGCAGGCTGGATCCATTGGTAAGTTTATCAAAAATTTTGATACATTACCACGAAAATGTTCATTGGCATCATACAATTTCGATGCAGAAGTTTTTATTATCATGACTACGTTAAACTTGTGAACAAAATCAGTTTAAAAAATGCTAAGAATTATTCCTCGCAACGTAGACGAGGTATACGTATGGTGACCATATTTTTGCGAGCGAAATCGAGGACAGAAAAGAAGGTGGAAATTATAACAACACACAAACGGCAAAAATAACAAAATTCTTGTATTTGTGTTATTTCGTAAATTATTTATTGAAAGGTGGAAAAAAAGAACTGTTTAAGAGAAAAAGAACAAGAAACAAAAATTAAGTGTTCATGTTGTAACAAAATCATCTCGGAATTTGTCAATCACGAAAATTTACAGAGTTAAGCGGCCATTTTCTACAAATATCTGATTATTACAATTTATTATCAAAAGAAGAAATTAGAAACTTAATTGCAGAAGGCCTGTTTTTATCTTATTTGATGCTACATATTTATATATATAATATGCAAATACTGGATTAAAAAATAAATATAGAACATTTGTACGTTTCGTATTCCTTAAAGAAATTCCGGGGACAGGCTGCTGAAATACAGAACGGATGGTTACTGAACTCATACCTGACCTAGTCTATGCTTGCAGAACAAAAAGGGGATACTGAAAAGACCGATGTATTTGCAACAATTTTTATTTCGCAAAATGTCTTAGAGTAAAACGCGAAGCATGCGACACGTGGTTGGTGAATGTTGTTGTTGTTCTTGCACCTATATTTTGTTACGTCTCGCGACACCAACCGCGGGTGGCATGTCTTCGTCTCGTTTGTAGTTTGATTAACCAGTCGCATGAACGCCGGCAACGACGCCGACCATTACGAACAATAATAATTATTATAATTACAACGGTAATGGTAACGAGTAATAATAATTAAATATAATATTATACATTATACGAATAAATACTAAACGTAATCCTCGCAAACTCGGGTGAGTAAGTGAATATCGCTTTCCGCTCGCGTTTCTATATAAATACAAAGGATTCGGGTGATAAGGGTAATACATGGATATTAGGATGAGGGGGTATTCGTATTTCCTTAAACGACTCTAAATCAACTCATTTTATACAAGGTACTCGATCGGTTCCGATCGTTTATCACATTCTCCGACGATCTGAGTGTCTCGGGGGTTTTAGAATTTCTTTCGTCGAGAAAACTTGATAATAGCTTTCTTTGTACCGAAAATAGCGTCTTGTGGAAGTAAGAACGATTCCTTCGTAGAGCATATCAATGTACTCAAACGTGTGACTGGAAGTTCGAGCGATCGTTAATTGTAATTAAATTACAAATAATCATTGAGCGTCTCTTCCTCAGCAATTTAATTATTCCGGGAACGGAGGAACGTTACACAGAATCTTTACGACAGTATTTAACGATATTTCACGTTATTACTAAATCTCAAATGCTTTCATAGTCAGAAAAAAAAATTGTCGTAAAGATTACTGATAAGATTCCTTAACTCCCTAAACTACTCCATCGACTCGAATTTCCAGTAACATGATTAATAAAGTACAGTAATCGTTTTGAAAAATAGATAAGTATAACTTCTTCGCTTGAGTATGCGATTTCAAACATGCACGAGGAAGTGTTGGTCCGTTAAAAGAAGAAAAAAAAATAGATTACTCTACACTGACTAGATTATACACCCATCCAATAGCGATCCTTCGGTAAAATCTAGTCGCTATACAAGTATGCTGTGTATCTAACAGAGGAACAAAACGACAGTGTCGTTAATCTTTTGTTAATTCACGTGAGAGATCAAGTAAATATCAGAGACCGTTTCAAATGTGGAACAAGAAAATAATCATTTACACGTTGTCAAAATATTCTGTGAACAAAGTATTGAAACTTGTTTAAACGAAGGTAGTGTCAAGGGTGTCTTTTACTGTCTCTCGTTAAGTCTTTCTGATCCTCGATGGGAATACGGATGTAAATCCGTTTCATCGTTTGTCTCCAGGTTAAATCGTAGAAATGCTTATTCTTTGAAGAGTTTCTTGGCATAGTGCCAAATGCGGAAGAAGTATTCGTCTTGTCTGAGGAGTCTTGCTCTCGCGTATGTATGAATGTCGGCATCCATGTTATGATCTCGAAGCCATGAACTCGTGTTCTCTGTGCTGAAGCTCACCGATGCGGTTTCGCCTTTCTCGGTGACTTCAGCGATCGGCTCCACTACTGCCAATTCTGGGAAAGAAATAAAACATTATATAACAAAATTTCATTTTTTAAATCGTTGGAATAAAAAAAATTATTTCAAGATTTTAGGGGAAAGATTATTATTTATTGCAACTGAGATCAGCATAAAAATAGAGGATCAGAACAGTAAAACCTGTAGCATAAGACAGAGATGAGGAATCTGTTTCAGGATACCGTGAGTTTCGTTTTGGTCACGTTCGTCACGATTCGAAATGAGGTTTAACTGTTATTTTGAGTTTCTGGTAAAAATGATTAAAAGAAGAGACAACATACCGGAAACTGGTACGATCTTAACCGGTTCATCTGATTCCAAAGGCTCGCTAAAGCCAACTTCATTCCTAGCGTAGATCCTGATCAAGTACATGTGGTTCTCCTGTAGATCCCTGATGTTCAGCTTCTGTACGTCGGCGTTCACTCTGCCAACTTCCATCCACATAGTCTTCTTTGCGTCCTTGATAGCAATCTTGTAGGCCTCCAATGGCGCACCACCATCGGTTTCAGGCCTTCCCCACGATATTACAACCGTGTTCGCTGCGATTTGTCTGATCTCCAATGGCGCAGTCGGTGGTGACGGCACGGCTGCGAGAAAAAACGTTAGGTCATAACTGATAGAAGATGAAACTCGAATTTATTTGATAACTTACTGGCATGCGTCATTAAGGTGACTGGTTCAGAGTTCGTAGGTAAACTGAGTCCCATGTTGTTTTCTGCAAACACTCGGAAGATGAATTCGCTTTCCTTTAAGTTTTCTATACAATATTGAAGTTGAGTAGGCTCCAGCGTAGCCACTTTCGTCCATCTCGCGCCCTTTCCAATCAGTGGCCTCTTCTCAATTACGTATCCTATTAAAGAAAGGTATTATATTGACAATTTTATATCTTTCATGTATTTTCTGGTAAAAGATAGAATACCTGTAAGCTCTGTGCCACCATTGCTGACTGGTGGAGACCAACTAAGAGTTGCACTCTTGCTGGTCACATGTGTTACTTGTACATGTTGTGGACTTGACGGTGGTGCTACAAATCAAACAATATATTAGATCAGATAGAAAATATAGGATGATATTTTATCAATAAGAAGCGAGATATAAGCAGGATTACGACTTACTCTTGCTGATAATTATTGCAGTTGGTGGGAATATACCCAGCAGAGCATACATGGTTCTTTCGTCGAGTTTTGTTATTTCTAAGCGATAGCGAAAGCGTTAAGTAAGCGAGAAATGGGTTAATGTGTATATGACTCATCTTATAAAATGAGGAGTAATACTCATAATGGTGTAAATCACTTTTCGGCCACTTTGTGACTTACATTGTTTTTTTTTCAATTACGAATGCTAATACGTTTAAAAAAGCGTTAATTACGTTCTAAGTCAACTTCTTTACAACTGATTAATTCTTTGAGTCAGAAATTTTTACAGACGAATTCATGAAATACGAACATTATACATAGAATATATAGATCTCCGGGATTTTTCAATTCCGAAAAGTGGTTTCCACCATAATGACGTGATATTAACAAATTAAATTAATTATCTTGAAGCATTAAAGAAATAGCTGTGACTAAATTTGATTGCAAGATTTAATCATTATAATTAAGCTTAAGCAACTAATATAATAAATTTCAATATACAGAAGATGATTTGCTTACTGATTCGCCTGCCAGGGGAAATCGGTTCTTCAGCAACGTAAGGAGGTCCAGTGCCAGCGCTGTTTTTCGCCGTTATCCTAAAGTTATACGGCACATCCGTTTTCAAATCCGACACGCTGAAGTGTGTCGTTTCGTGCTTCGTGCTGCCGATCTGTGAATAATACGATTGAACTTTAGTCTTTGTCAAAATAGAGACAGACAGAAATAAAAAGAGTCCCAATTGACCTTTTGCCAAGCCTTCTTCGATTCCTCCTTCATCTCGATGATGTATTCTGTTATCGGTGTTCCACCATCGTTCTCCGGAGGCTGCCAGTTTATCGTGAACGATGTCTTCGTCATTCCTGACACTTCTAGCGGTCCTCTCGGTGGTCCCGGCGGTTCTATAAATATAATAATAATCAATTAATTAACATACGCATAAAATTGTTTAAAAATCTCGTAGCTGGAAATGATTACATTAAAGGCTTCGTAGGAAATGATTTAACGTACCGAAGGAAGTTCTCATTTTGACCGTTTCCGATTCCAATGGTTCCGACGGTCCAACGGTGTTCTTGGCGATGATTCTGAATTTGTATTCTGCATTCTGTTGCAATTTGTGCACGCAGAAGCTCTCCACTTCCTTATCGATATCGACCACCTTCGTCCAAGCTTTGCCTGGTTCCCATTTCTCAATTGTGTATTTCTCGAGTTCGATTCCACCATCGTCAATAGGTGGTTTCCATTCGATGGTGACACGATCCTGTCTGATCTCCTTGAAGACAACTGGTCCCTCCGGTTTGCTAGGTTTGTCTAAAGGGATTGAGACCAAAATTACTACCAAGTATTTATAAAGAATAAAATTATAATAACAATAATAAAAATAATAATAATTATTATTATAATTATTGTTATTATCACTTTATTAATGAGCATAAGTCTTTAGAATATAAAACATAATGTACCGATCACTTTGAGGTGTAGGTCAACCGAAGCACTGCCAGTCTGATTCGCTGCCTTCGCGGTGTAAGTGGCAGTGTCTTCTCTGATAAGTGAGGAAATAGAGATGGTAGAGGTATTCTCTTCCGTGCGAATCGATACACGTTTGTCGACTATACTCCTGTTGTTCTTTGACCACGTTACTTCCGGTTTCGGGAAGCCGCTCGTTCGAATCTCGATTTTCCATTGCTCGTTTACCGGGAGAGTCTGACTAGCCAGGGTCTCGTCGTAGCTGATTTTTGGCGCCTCTTGCACCTTCAATTCGCACGTGGTTTCTGCTGTTCCTACATTATTCTTTGCTTTTACTGTAAACGTTGCCGATGACGTTTCTGTAGTTTTTGTGATTGTGTATTTCGCCACACGATTCTCGTACGTGATACTGCTGTCTTCAAACGTTTCACCATTTCTCAACCTATAATTAAATTGCTACCATTAATATTTTAAAAGTAAATGTCGCAGGTATACCGCATGGTTTTCGCTACAGATTCTACTGGTTTTTCCTTTATTTTTTTTATCTCCTTTTTTGTTATGAATTAGTGTACGTATAGATATATTGTGATGCATTGAATGTTCATTAAATATTATTAGATATGATATAAAAAGGGGCACTGTAATGTGGGGGCATAAATAAATAAATAAGTAATTAACGTAGTTGTTGCATTTAAGTAGAACGAAAAGTTTGTACCATGTAATCTCAGGCAACGGTGTCCCTCTAATAACGCAAGATAGGGTGACGGTTTCGTCAAGGCCAACAATGACACTTTTCAGTGGTTCCAGTACAACTGGTGGTTCTGCAGCCGATGGTTTAGATATTTTTATGGTTGGAGAAGTTGGCGAAGTTTCACCCGGTCCAGCTTCATTTACAGCCGTTACACGGAAAACGTACTCTCTGTTTGTGGTTAATTTTGTTACATTATGAGTAGTTTCTGTTATCGTTTCCGTAATTTTGGTCCACCTTGAAATGATAAAAGAAATAGTTAAAACTCGTGCTCGTTATTAATACTTGAGCCTGTTCAGAAGAATTGGATAATACAATATATGATAATTAATCGTATGAGAATTAGATTTTTTAATTGTGATACTCACGTAGTTTCAGTCTTTTCTTGTTGTTCTAGGATGTACTCAACGATAGGTGAATTTCCATCTGAATCAGGTTTCTTCCAGTGAAGCGTCACACTATCATTAGTTATCTCTAGTGGTTCTGGTGCTCCAGGAGCACTTGGTACCTCTGCAAGCAGAAATAGGATATGAACAATGATCCTTCATAATGAAAGTTAGAGACCTTATAGTAATTCAAATAGGAAACAGCGTACACTTGATCCTCCTTTTACATTTTTTACACGATTTTAAAATTACGCGGTTACCATTAACATGATTTATAAACAATTCAGCCTATGCTTGCATGATTTTATTCGGTACGCTTTTATCGTGTAAAAGGAGGGTCAGGTGTGTCTACGGTGGAACCTACGAGTGGTTTTCCAAACTCTGAATACAAGTAAATCAAGTTCATTTTTGGACCATTAGACTAAAATGGAACATTTATATGTATGAGAATTCAAATAAGATACTTACGGACGATAACGACGTTGATCTCTATGCTAGCTTCTCCAACGTTATTCACCAGTTTCAAAGTATAATCGCCAACGTCGTCCTCTTCAATCTGGTAGATGTTTAGAACCGCGGATTCCTCGTCGATCGACGGCACCACTCGTTTCGATTTTGTAACCACGCGACCGTTTACTGTCCATTCATCGTCTGGTTTTGGTGCCGCGGTGAATTTCACGATAATTTCAACGTCCTCGCCTTTTCTTACTTTGTATTTTTTCGGTGTCTCCGGGCTGATCTTCGGCGCCGTTTCAACAACTAAAAATTTTTAAATAATTAAAAATTGTAGATTGGAAATTATTTTTACAATTTTACTTAATCGAGATTTCATCGAATATAAATATAATCGTGATATCATAATATATAAATTAATCGGAAGAATCACCGATACATTCTTGAATTAAAAATCGCTTAATGCTCACTGGATGTTAAAGACTTTACAGGAATAAGAAATTACCTTCGACTCTCAATTTCGATGATGTTTTCACGTTCGTTACGACAGCTGTGTATTCTGAAATATCTTCAGTGGTACACTTCTTCACTATAAGCTTCTTCACGGTGCCCTCATCAATAATAGTGTATTTCGGTGACTCCTTGATAACTTCCGTTTTTCTATAAAATTATTGCATTATATAATATAATACGGCTTCAACAAATGTTCACGAGAGCTTTACAATAAATTTCATTAAATAATCCCCTCCGAACTCTCCGAAAATTTTGTCTCCTTACCTCAACCATGTGACTGGAACGTTGCGTGATAATTCAATAATGAAAACAGCGTCCGCGTTCATCGGTACAAGAGTCACATCTGGTAACTTGGTAATGAAATCTACTCCAGGTTCTTCAACCGTTAATTTAGCCGATGATTTTTGTTTGCCAACTTCGCAGGAGTAGACACCCGCGTCTTCCGGTTCCGTATCGTAGATCTTCAGCTTCTGTTTTTTGCCATCGATCGATAATCGAACGTGTTCGGAGAACTGTACCTCTTGCCCGTCTTTGAACCATCGGACCTTTGCGTCTCCTTTTGTTAATTCTATGTCGAACGTCGCTCTCTCGCCTCTCGCTATTGTCACATCTTGCATCTTCGAGATTATTTCCGGTGGCAATTCTGAGATAAAAGGGGAATTTATAAGCAACCATAGAGACTTGAGCTATGCCGGGAGAAAACATGCGGGCAAAGCCATGACGAGAGATGATAGTAATATATATTTACCAATAACGGTGACTTCAGCAGTACATTTTTGGTCGGCGAGACTGCACGTGTATTCTCCTTCATCGTGAACCGACGTACTTCTGATCAGCAATTTCCTGACGGTGCCATCTTTCACAAATTCTAATTTCTCTTTACCCGGTCCCAAAGGCTCGCCGTCCTTGAACCACTTAACATCAGCCGTTTCCGATGTGATTTCGACTTCCAGAATGGCGATTTCGCGCTCTTTCACTTCGCAGTCTTGTAACTCTTTGACGAACTCTGGCTTGGTGGCTGCAAATTTAATTTCATTCATATTATTATTATTACTATTACTTTATTATTATTACTTTATCAACGAGCGTAAACCCTTTAGAGTATACAAAGGAAAAAAAAGAAGTATAAGTAATTTAAGATAATAACAAAAGATAATCAAATAAGCTTAGAAATAAAATAGTAACAAAAGCTTAATAAAAATGTAATAAACAAACAATAAAATTAACTAATTTAATGAAAATGGAGTTTCAATGGTTACCTTTGACTGTAACTTTGCTCGACGTCGACTGATTCTTTACAGTGCACTCGTAAGTTCCTTCGTCCTTGGAACTCGTTCGCTTGATGATCAACTTGTGCACATGTCCATCTTGCACGATCTCCCGATGGTCCATTCCACTGATTTCCTTGTCGTTGTGCCACCATTTCGTGGACACAGTGTGGGATGTTTCACAAGTCAATTCTAAAGTCTTGAATTCGTCGATGACAACTTCCTTCGGCAGTGTCTTCGTGAATGTTACTTTCTCGACGTCCACTGTGACTTTGGCACCGTGAGATGTTTTTCCAACAGGATTACTGGCGATACACTTGTAATCGCCTGAGTCTACTTCCGAATCCGCGTTTCTGATTTCCAACGCTATGTTCTCGCCATCGTAGCTTTCAGTGATATTAGGCGATTTTTCTAAGGGCTTGTTATTCCTGTAAAAACAATTCAGTTATTCACTTTTTACACGTTATTTTCGGATAATTAAAATTTTATTTCGAATTAGATAAACTTTCAATATTTTTTATGTAAGATAAGTTTGGACATGCTACCTTAGCCACGTGACTTCTGGCACAGGATTCCCAGTAACTTTGGCCACCAATTTGAAGGTACCTTTCTCCGGAACAGTGAGCCCTTGGAATCGTTCCGTGAAAAGTGGCGGTTCCGGAGCTCCACTTGGTATTTCTAAAGGTATACACAAAATGTGTTTAACATATAGAATGATATAACGATATCTATAAAAATTAAAATATGCGACAAATTAATGCTTAAGCATAAGCATATCCTACCCTTGGTTACAATGTGATGTTCGTATATTTGCTGGTTGAAGTTAATGGTCAGCGAAGGCTTCAAGTATACTGAAAAACGATTTAGCGAAGCATTTTGCGATATTAATATGTATAAGCATGATATAATCACTTAAGGTTGTCCTGGCTATAAATTAAAACAGTGTCACATGTTTGAAATTTTGCGAATAAATAGTTATTATTACACTGAAGATTTTTATGCGATATAAAATATTTGTGATAGTAATTTAAAAAATAGGCTTTCTATATATTTATTTTATCATTTAAATATTGTAATGTACTATTTGTTATGGATATTCTGTGTATTTTGATATTTCAGATGCAGTGTTTATATTTTCTGTAATAATTATTTTATGGTATTCCGATTAAAATTCTAACACGATTATACCGGAAAAATCACCGAAAATCCGCTATATTGAGAATACGTATGACTTTTTGCGGACATTATATAGCCAGGACAACTTTACCATGAATGTTAAAAAGGAAATTGTTCGAATTAATGGAATTGCGAAAGCTTTGATTGCTACATGTTATTATATAACATTTCGTAATTATTCTTACTTTCAACTGTTAATGTGGCTTTTGTTTCGGCTGTGCCGAGATCGTTGGTAGCCACCACAGAGTATTCTCCAGAGTCCGTCACTTTCGGTTGAATCAGCGTGAGCGTGTTTACGTGGCCGTCTTGTTTCGGTGTTAAGGTCTTCAATGGTTTACCATTTTTGTACCACGTTACTTTAGGTGCCGGGTGGCCGACAATTTGTGCTGACAGTACCACAGTTTCGCCTTCTCTCACAACGTATGATTGCAGAGGTTCCAAAATCTCTGGTGGCTCGGATTTGCCTGTCTTCACCTATAATTCATAATATTCATATAAATTGTTTAAGACATGTTGCAAAGTAGCGCAATTTAAACATGTAATACAAAAGTTGTTATATAGAAACAATGTACACAGAATGTTATGTACACAGTTAATTACTAATGCGGCAAGAAAAAATCTACATCCCTGGACGGATACTTTATATACTAATTTTCAATTTAAATATTTTTTACATAATTACAATTGAGTTACGGACCTTCATAGGAATCTCGATGGTAGCTTCCCCTTCTCTATTCCTAGCAACGATCGTGTATTTCCCTTCCTGTTTCTTCTGAACTTTAGTTATCTTAATCACGCTGCAGTACATGTGCATATCACTCTCAGTAGCTACGGCGATGTTCTCTTTGTTAGTGATTTGCGTGTCCTTGTAGTACCACGTTATCTCCGGTTCGGGCACTGCCACCAAACGGCATTCCAGTATTACGTCTTCACCTTCGTTCACGTACTTCGCTTTCGGTTTGCGCGAGAATGTCGGTGGTATTCCCTCCAGAATGTCGGCGAGGGATGATTCTCTGTAAAAGAGATTAAAAATAGTAAGAGTAATAAATTTGCACTTTTATGTGTGACATACATGGCCTGGCAGTCTTCTTACAATATTACAGTATAATACAATATGATCTTAGAAGTGTCAGAATGTTATGTACACAGTTAATTACTAATGCGGCAAGAAAAAATCTACATCCCTGGACGGATACTTTATATACTAATTTTCAATTTAAATATTTTTTACATAATTACAATTGAGTTACGGACCTTCATAGGAATCTCGATGGTAGCTTCCCCTTCTCTATTCCTAGCAACGATCGTGTATTTCCCTTCCTGTTTCTTCTGAACTTTAGTTATCTTAATCACGCTGCAGTACATGTGCATATCACTCTCAGTAGCTACGGCGATGTTCTCTTTGTTAGTGATTTGCGTGTCCTTGTAGTACCACGTTATCTCCGGTTCGGGCACTGCCACCAAACGGCATTCCAGTATTACGTCTTCACCTTCGTTCACGTACTTCGCTTTCGGTTTGCGCGAGAATGTCGGTGGTATTCCCTCCAGAATGTCGGCGAGGGATGATTCTCTGTAAAAGAGATTAAAAATAGTAAGAGTAATAAATTTGCACTTTTATGTGTGACATACATGGCCTGGCAGTCTTCTTACAATATTACAGTATAATACAATATGATCTTAGAAGTGAGTTAGTTGTTATGTTATTAGAAATTATAAAAATAATTATAAAAACTTATGAAATTATAAAAAATTTCTTTAGAGTCACGCGGAGATTGTTTGTTATTTAATCTATCCCCGGCACATAAAAATATGTAATGTGGAAACGCACCGTGAGAGACTCTTTCTGGATGGACCAGTGACGTCCGATCCGTGGTCAGAAAGAGGTGCTTCTACTGTCAATTCTGTGGTACTGGAAGCGAAGCCTGCGGTATTCTTAGCGACGCAGGTGAAGGTGCCAGCATCTTCAGGGAATACTTCCCTAATGATCAATGTAGCAACGTTATCGTCGTCGTAGTACATCTGGAAGTCGGGGGACGGCTTGATGATGGCTGTCTGTCGGAACCACGTAATTTGAGGTCTCGGTAGACCCTCCACTTGGCACTCGAATTGGACCGTGTAACCATCTGGCGTGTGAATCGGCTGCAATTTCTCAATGAATTTCGGTGCTGATGTTTCCTCACCGGGTACTGGTTCTACGATATTAAAAAGATTCATTTATATTTTAATACTTTCAAGTATGAGCGCAAAGTCTGTGTTGTACCGTATTTATTCGACTTTTAGAATTAATATTATCCATGTTTCATCTTAAGATGATTTTAGCGAGCGTTATATTGTTGAATTTATGTAAAAGCTTTGGATTGGATCATGACAAGATTCATTTAATTTAATCCATGATGGTAATTTCTATTATTTTTTTTTATAAGATGTAACTAAACGTACTTTCGAAGACAGGTAATTTATCGATCTTCTCATGCAATTTGCGCTGCAGGTAGAGAGTGTAATGTACTTCATTAAGAAGGTATTGCGCTGGGACCCAACCCTTCTCTTCTGTCAAGTGTTTCTTTACGAACCACCAGTCCTGGTTCGAATGATCTGGGACAGGAAAGATATAATAAATATTATTGGTGTTAGTTTTAGATCTACACACTTTTATTGAGTACGCTTACCGATTATGTAAACTCTTTCTCCTTCAACGAGGTTGATGGCCTCGTCGGTTTCTGCCACGTACGAACAAATCGAGAACATCGTGTCGCCATCGCGAATTACATACTCAATTTCTTCTGAAAAGTTAATTTAATCAATTAAAATCAAATATTACATTGTTTATAGAAAAATCCTTGTAGCTTAATATTTTTTAATCTTACCTCCCTCTGAAATATCTTCTTCCCTGGTGATACTAAGCGAGGCCTCTTCTGCAATGCGTCAAACAAAGTATTATAATAACTGTAAGCAGTGTTAATCGCACAAGCTGCTATCTATTAATACAATCATCATTTAATCCAGCAGCTGTTCATAACTGAAGCGGCGTTTTAAATCCGATCTATGCAGCAAGTACAAGTGTTCTAACTGTCGCTATAAGTGAGTTGCACAGCGTTCTGTTGCCGGAGTACGTTATACCGATATGCTTTTCATTCGCAGTAGATTAAGAAGCGGGAGATTCTAGGCGAGGTTTCGAAGGCACAGGGGAGTTAGGGGCAAGCATACTCACTAAATGCGCACCGAACTGTCTGAAGAAGCAGAAGTTAATTTCTAGTTTAGCTGAAAGCACGTTAGATTAAACGTTATCTGCGATAACGGTAATGAAGAAATCCCGCCGAACCTTCTTCATAGGTGGATACGCGTCTTCTGCCCTTCAGCTTCAGCGCTAACGTCTCGTCGGCTTCTTCAATTGAATATTTCCTTTCATGTTTCAGTTTCAACCTTACGTCACCCTCCTCGACGTCTTCCACCTTATAAGGCTTGCGTTCCTTCTTCCTCCTTCTCTTCAGTGGCAGCCTCATCTCGTCTGTCTCCAATTCCTCGATCATGTATTCATCTCCGCCTTCTTCATCTGATTCTATGATCTCTTCTATAATTGGACCAGAATCGTCTTCGACCTCCTGCATAATCCTGATTGTCTCTTCTCCTGCTTCTTCGGAGTATGTCATCGGTTTCTTCTTTGGTTTCAAACGAACTTTACCGGACATGGAGATGTCCTCCTCCTCGTAGGTGTTCAACGAAATCTTGAATTCCTGTTCCACATCCTCTTTGGTTTTTGTGGACCGTGGTCGGAACGTCACGTTCTCTACTTCCGTCACCTCCTTGATGTCTGGCTTCTTTTTCTTTGGACGCAACTTGCGAAGAGTAACATCCTCGTAGATTTCCTCGATAGGTTTGGGAGGTAGCTTCGGAGGTTTTCGTTTGAACGTAAACTCGTGGATCTCTTCTTCCTCAGGCTGTTCGATTTCCTCTACTTTCTTGATAGTCAGTTCTTCGGCTGCCTCTTCCGTGACTTTCGGAACCGGCTTCTTTTTCTTTAACTGTACTTCTGTTGTCACTTCCTCTTCCTCAGTTGGCTTTTCAGGAGCACGAGCTTTCTTTATAGTAACGGCAGTTTCTTCGACTTCTTCCGTGACAGACGGTTTCCTTTCCGGTTTTTTCTTCTTTTTGATGGTAAATTCCTCGGGCGCCTCCTCTTCCACAGGAACTGGTTTCTTAACAGTTATTTCGGCAGCTTCTTCTTCAACCACTGGCTTCTTCTTTTTCGGTTTCTTAACTTCAACCTTTTCCGTTATTTCCTCCGGAGCCTTTTCCTCTTCGACTGGTTTCGGTTTTGTGAGAGTCACCTCGGTTTCTGCTTCTTCTTTTGGAATTGATTTCTTCTTCTTCGGTTTCAGAGTGACTTCTTCAGGAGCCTCTTCCTCTGGCTTTTCTTCAACTACTACTTTCTTAATGGTTATTTCGTCGGCAGCCTCTTCCTCAACCGGCTTTTTCTTTTTCGGTTTCTTTACTTCAACCTTCTCGGTTACTTCCTCCGGAGCTTTTTCCTTCTCTTTTGGTACTGGCTTCTTCAGCGTAACTTCTTCGGATACTTCCTCTGGAACTGGTTTCTCTTTTGGCTTTTTCTTTTTTAATGTTATTTCTTCTACAATTTCCTCTTCCTCTTTCTCAATAGGCACTGGTTTCTTGATAGTAATTTCCTCGGCAACTTCTTCCTCTACCGGTTTCTTCTTTTTCGGTTTCTTAACTTCAACCTTCTCGGTTACTTCTTCCGGTGCCTTTTCCTCTTCTTTAGGTACTGGCTTCAGAGTTACTTCCTCAGTTACTTCTTCGGGGACATGTTTCTCTTCTGGTTTCTTTTTCTTGAGAGTAACTTCCTCTATTATTTCTTCCTCTTCCTTTTCTACAGGCACAGGTTTCTTGATTGTTACCTCGTCGGCAGCTTCCTCCGTTACAGGCTTCTTCTTTTTTGGTTTCTTTACTTCAACCTTTTCGGTTACTTCCTCCGGAGCTTTTTCCTCTTCTTTAGGTGGTATTGGCTTTAGAGTTACTTCTTCAGTTACTTCTTCTGGAACTGGTTTCTCCTTTGGCTTTTTCTTCTTCAGTGTTATTTCCTCTACAATCTCCTCTTCCACCTCTTCAACAGGCACTGGTTTCTTGATAGTAATTTCCTCGGCAACTTCTTCCTCTACCGGCTTCTTCTTTTTCGGTTTCTTAACTTCAACCTTTTCAGTTACTTCTTCCGGTGCCTTTTCCTCTACTTTAGGTGGTACTGGCTTTAGAGTGACTTCTTCAGTCACTTCTTCTGGAACTGGTTTCTCCTTTGGCTTTTTCTTCTTCAGTGTTATTTCCTCCACAATCTCCTCTTCCACCTCTTCAACAGGCACTGGTTTCTTGATAGTAATTTCCTCGGCAACTTCTTCCTCTACCGGCTTCTTCTTTTTCGGTTTCTTAACTTCAACCTTCTCGGTTACTTCTTCCGGTGCTTTTTCTTTCTCCTTTGGTACCGGCTTCAAAGTAACCTCCTCCGTTACTTCTTCTACAGGCTTCTCTTTCGGTTTTTTCTTTTTCAGTGTTATTTTCTCTACGATTTCCTCTTTCTCCTCCTCAACAGGCACTGGTTTCTTAATAGTGACTTCATCGGCAGCTATTTCTTCAACAGGTTTCTTTTCTACCGGTTTCTTGATCTCTATTTGCTCGGTGACCTCTTCAGGTACCTTCTCTTCTTCTTCTGGCACTGGTTTCTTTAACGTGATCTCCTCCTTCACTTCTTCCGGCACAGGTTTCTCCTTCGGTTTCTTTTTCTTCAACGTTACCTGCTCCGGCACTTCTTCTTCTTTCTTCTCTTCCACAACAGGCTTCTTGATGGTAATTTCTTCAGCAGCTTCCTCTTTCACTGCCTTCTTTTTCTTTGGTTTCTTTATTTCCTCAACTACCTCTTCGGGTTTCTCTTCTGGTTTCTTTAAAGTAACTTCTTCAGTTACTTCTTCAGGAGCAGGTTTCTCTTCTGGTTTTTTCTTTATAACAACTTCTTCTTTAACCTCTTCAACCTCTTCCTTCTCTTCTTCCTTCTTGATCGTAATTTCGACAGCTTCCTCTTCTTTCACAGGCTTCTTTTTCTTCGGCTTCTTTACCACTGCTTCCTCCACAATTTCTTCTGGTTTCTTTGGTTTCTTTTTCATCGTGACTTCTGTTGTGATTTCCTCTTCTTCCACTTCCTTCTCTTCAATAACTGGTTTCTTAATAGTAACTTCAGCTGGAGCTTCCTCGACCGGTTTCTCTGGTTCCTTCTTTAGCGTAATTTCTTCGATTACCTCAGGAACCTCATCTGGCTTTTTCTCTTCAGGCTTCTTCAACGTGACTTCCTCCTCCTTAGGAGCCTTCTCTTTGGGTTTCTTTGGTTTGGCTTTTCGCTTCACGGTGACTTCTTCAGTCTCCTCTTTAGGTACTTTGGGAGCTTCTTCCTCTTCCTTCTTTGGTAATTCTTTAACGCCTTCATCCTCCGGTTTCTCTTTCTTCCACGGTTTCAGTGTTATTGTTTCTGGTTCCTCTTCCGGTTTCTCTTTCTGCGGTATCCTGAACTTAACTTCTGGTTCTTCTTCTTTTTCTGGTGGTTTTGGTACACCCTTTATTATTGGAACTTGTTCTATTTCTTGATCCGGCTTCTTCTTCTCCTCCCTTTCGTATGGCTTTGGAACTGGTTCCGGTGCTGGCTCTTCAGGTTTCGGGAATTCTTCCGGTTCATATTTTTCCAATTCTGGTCGCTCGAAGTCTAAAGGTTTGAATTCGTCGTGTTCTAATTTCATTTTTGGTTTCTCTTTCTTCTCCGGTTTAACTTCCTTTTCGGGTTCCTTTTTCACCGGTTTCTTTAATGGTTCCTCAACTTCTTCCGGTTTCTTTTCAGGAATTTTCTTCAGTTTGACTTTTTCAGGTTCTACCTTTTCTTCCTCCGGCACCTTACCTTTTCCTACGACCACCTTTTGTGGTTCTTTCGGTTTCTCTGCTGGCTTTTTCGGCTTACGCTCGTACGGCGCCATTTCCTCAGCCTTCTCAAGCGGAACTTTCTTCAGTTCTTCAAATTCTAGATCTAACTTTTCTAACTCTGTGATTTCTTTCTTAGGAAGCTTAACCTTTTTCACCTTCCTCTTGAGAACTTCCAGAGCTTCTTCCGTGTTTCTGGACAGGATACCTGCTTGAACTGGATTTTCTTCGAGCTCAGTTATCTCTGGAATTTGTAATTCAGGGGGATAATCATCGATGAATGTCATTCTGCTTCGTAACATGATTTTTGGGATTTTCACCTCGCCCACGCTCTTCTTTTTCGGGACTGACACTTTTTTCAGTTTGATCGAAGCGAATTGAACTGTTTCCGTAGGCTCTGAATATTTCAGTTTTGTAGGTTTGATCTCTTTTCTCTCGATCTTTTGAGGAACTAGTTTCTGCAGGGATTCCGGCAAAGGCTTCTTTTCTTTCTTCTTCTTTGGTTCCCATTGAATCTTCTCCGGCATAGGTTCGAGTACAGGTCGTTCGTACTCTGGTTCTACCCATTCTTCGATCTCATCTTTCTTGGCTACCTTCTTCTTTTTCTTTTTCACAACTTTCGTTTCTTTAGGCTTCTCCGGAACTTCTTCGGTTGGTATTTCTTCCGGCACTTCCTCCTTTTTCTCTTCTACAGGAACCTCGGTAATTTTAATTTTCTCTTCAGGCTTTTCTTCAGTTGGAACTACTTTGCGTTCCTTGGGTTTCTTTGTTGGCAATTCTTCAGTGACTGCCTCCGGAATTACTTCAGTAGTTTCTACAGTTTCCTTTGGAATAATTTCTTTCTCAGCCTTGACCTTCTTCGGCTTCTCCTCTACGATTTCCTCCACCTTTTCTTCCGGTTGCTCCTCTTCTGTAACGGCAGGCTTTTTCTCCACAGGTTTCTTCTTCTTTGGCTTCTCTTTCGGTTTTTCCTCTACTGGTTTTTCTTCCTTCGGTTTTTCCTCTATTGGTTTTTCTTCTTTCGGTTTTTCCTCTACTGGTTTTTCTTCTTTCGGTTTTTCCTCTAGTGGTTTCTCTTCTGTTGGTTTTTCCTCTAACGGTTTCTCTACCTTCGGTTTCTTTGCTTTTGGTTTTTCTTCTTCCGGCTTTTCTTTCTCTACCTCTTCCTTCACCTCAAGTTTTTCTTCAGGAATTTCTTCCACTTTTGGTTTGTCTTCAATTATTTCCCCATTGGTCACAATGTCTTCCTTCTTTTTCTTTTTAGGTACCTTTTTCACAGAAACCTCCGTAACTCTCGCTTCTTCTTCCACTTTTTCTTCCTCTTTCGGAACAGCTTTCTCTTCCTTCGGTTTCTTTTCTTTTATCTCTTCTGTTGCGACTTCAGGAACTACCTCTGTTGTTTGTAACTCCTCCTTGGGAAGAATCGTTTTCTTAGCCTTTCTTTTCTTTGGTTCTTCTGGTGTAATTTCCTCTACAATTTCCTCTACTTGCTCCTCTTCAGTTTCCTTTGGTGTTAATTTCTTTTTCATAGCCTTCTTCACGGTCACCTTCTTTTCCTCTACCTTAGCCCTTTCTTCTTTCTCCTCTGTTATTACTGCCTTGTCTTCCTCTGGCTTTTCTATCTGTAACTCTTCCTCTGCAGTTGTAGGAACCACTTCCGTAGTTATGACACCATCCTGAGGCGTAACTTCTTTCTTTGCTTTGATTTTCTTGGGCTTCTCCGTGATAAGTTCTTCGACTTTCTCTTCTGGCTGTTCTTCTTCTTCAGGTACGCCTTCTTTCGGAGCCTCCTTCACTTTCACTTTCTTCGTTGTTACCTTCTCCTCCTTTTCTTTAACCTCGGTAACTTTCTTCTTCTTCGGTTTTACCTCCTCAGGAAGCTTTTCGGTAGTCACTTCAGTAACTACTTCTGTTACTTCAACGCCTTCCTCCTCTGTAACAATCGGTTCCGCTTTTTCCGTCTTCGGGAGTTCAGGTTTTATTTCCTCAACAACCTCTTCTTTCTCTTCTGCTTCAATTGCTGTAACTGGCTTCTTCTTCTTCTTCGGTGCTTTCTTCACTTCTACCTGTGTAACTTCCACTTTTTCTTTCGTGATTTCTGACGGCTTCTCTTTAGCTTCCTCTGGTTTAACTTTCTCGTCTGGTAATTTTTCGACAGAGGTTTCAGTAATAATTTCTGTGACTTCTACTCCTTCCTTTGGCACAATTGCTTTCTTCGCTTTCTCTTTAATAGGTTTCTCGATCACTATTTCTTCTACTTCCTCCTCAGGCGCTTTGCCTTCCTTGATCGATGCCTTCCTCTTCTTAATTATCTTCTTCGTCGGTGTCTCAACAATTTCTACGATTTCTTGCTCCTCCATAGCCTGTGCCTCCTCTATGGTTTTCTGTATTACTTCTTCCACTATTTTACCTTTCTTATCTTTCGGTTTCTTTCTAATGATCTTCGTCGTCGGAGTTTCAATAGTTTCAATTACTTCTTCTTCCTCGACTATTTCCTCTTCTGGTTTCTTTGGTGCTTTCTTCGATTCAACCTTCGTTACTTTCACCGTTTCCTTTTCTTCTTCCACAATTGGTTTCGCCTTTTCTTTCTGCGGCTTTTCGATAATGATCTCTTCTACGATTTCCTCAGGAACACCGTCATCTTTCACTATCTCCTTCTTCTTCTTGACAACCTTTTTGGTCGGCGTCTCGACGATTTCTACTATTTGTTGTTCCTCCATCTCTATGGTCTCTTGACGTGGTTTTTCAATTATTTCCTCTACCACGATTTCTTCTCCTTCACCCTTCTTCATAGGACGTCTCTTTTTCCTGATGATCTTCTGCGTTGGAGTCTCGATAGTCTCGAAGATCTCCTCCTCTTCTTTGATGACCACTTCCTTCTTCTTCTTCTTCGGTGCTTTGCGTACTTCTTGCTCAGTAATCGTAACGGTCTCTTCCTCTTCTACTAACGGTCGAGCTTCATGCTCTTCCGGTATCTCCGTTATTATCTCTTCCACGACTTCCTCCGTTACTTCGTCCTCAGCTGTGATCGGTTTCCTCTTCTTTGTAACCTTCTTTTTGACTTCCTCGACCTGTTATTTATAAAATAATTGATGAATCATGTTCATGTAGTGTGCTTTCGCACGGAAATAAAATCGCGATTCATGTATGCGAGACACTTCGCGAGATGATGCAAAATTAATTTGGGAAACTGGGAGAGCAGTTTACATAGGAAAACCGCAATAATACCAATGAGGGTGTAAAATAATTTTGCATGCCTGTGTATGATATTGTATGGCCGGACTCATTTGTTCTCGTTATACGCTCATCATTCTCTTTTTATCGAAGTGAATCGCTTACGAGAATTGCGATTCTTGTATCTCCGTGTAAAAACTCTTATAGATGCAATGAAACATTCGTAGAATAGAATCTTACCTTTTGGACCACTTCCTCCGTGACATCTGCGAAAAGAACAAAATGCTTTATGTCTGATAATGAACCAATAAGCTCGTATCAATACTAAGCTTTTCTTAACAACAGATTGCAAATCATTTAAACTAAGTACTGATAGAAAGCATGTAAACCAGGAGAGCTTGTCCACAGACAAAATTATGTTATGCTGTAGTATCAAGTATATATTTGTCCATCATGTCTTTGTATATTGTTCTGTTTAGTTTCGTATAATATTTATGCACGGTAAATGAAACAGGGCAATGTATTACGTATAAGTATGTGAACGCGACAAGTACAATGGCTCTCATTAATGTTTAGACATTCCAAAACAGAATAATTTTTTTAATGCTCAACCGATTTTTTTTTTAAATGTTAGGAAACTTAATTTTCTAGATAATTTGTATTTAATGAAATAGCTATTTTTTTATTTATTTTTTTCTATATATCATCTAGTTAACTAAGTCTTGTAACATTTAAAAAGAAATTGAGTTGATTGGTCCAATATTAAAAAAGTTATTCTATTTTGAAATTTGCCCGAATATTAATGAGGACTACTGCATGTAATAAATAAAATCTAGATGATGGCGTTTAATTGTACACGTTGGTGATAGTAATACGTAAATTGGCTTACCTTCCGTCACTTTCTCGTCAGCTTTTGGTTTTTTCGGTCTTTTGTGTTTTGGTTTTTCGTGTATTTCTGGTGTAGTGTCTTCGTAGGGTTCTGTTGTTGCTGTTAATGGTTCTTTACCTTCCTCTTCGACGGTCACCTCTTCGATGACCCGTTCTTTACCTTCGCGTTTCCTGCTCACGCGCCTCTTGCGCACTGTTCTCTTCGTTCCTTCCTCGGTCACGATTTCGCTCGTTACAATCTCTTCCCTAATTTCTTCAACAGGCTTTTCCACGACTATTTCATCGACCGTTACTATAGGCAATTCGCCTTCTTCCTCTATGACTGTCTCTTCAACGACAGTCGGTTTTTCGCCACGTTTCGTCGTGGTCTTTTTCTTTTTTATCTTTCGCGGTTTCTTTTCAGGTATCTCTTCAACGACAGTAACGATCTCTACAATCTCGACAATGTCATCGTCATTGGGAACAAATTTCAAATAATCCTCAGGCTTCTTTTCTTCTTCTTTTTCCTCCTTGGGTTTCTTCCAAGGTTTCAGTTTGATCTTCTCCGGCTCCTCTGGTGGAGCTTCTCTCTCAGGAATTCTTCTCTTGATTTCTTCTTCCTCTTCAGGTTCCTTCGGTTTCGGAACACCAGGTACTATCGGAATAGCTTCGGTTTCTTGAGCTGGCTTCTTAGGCTTCTTTTTTATCCTCTTGCCTGGTATCTTATCAGGTTCTTCTTTTTCTGGTTCAGGATACTCTGGTTTTTCCATTTCTTCTAATTCGACCTCAGGACGATCTATGTCATAAGGTTCGAATGGTTTCAATTCAGGATATTCTTTCTCCTCTTTTTCCTTCTTAGGTTTATCTACTTCATCTTTTTTCTTTGGAACTTTAGCCTCTTCTTCCGGAACACTTGGCACTTTCTCTGGTATTTTCTTCAATTTTACAGTTTCAGGTTCTTGTTCTTCTGCTGGACGTATCTTTCCTTTGCCTATCTTCAACTTCTTCGGTTTCTCCTCCTCAGGTTCTTTCGGTTTTGACTTACGTTCGTATGGAGCCATTTCCTCCACTTTTTCTAACGGAACTTTCTTCAATTCTTCAAATTCTTGGTCTAGTTTTTCCAATTCTGTTATTTCTTTTTCTGGTAATTTCATCTTTTTGTGTTTGATCTTCTTGATCTTCAATGCTTCTTCCATCGTACGAGACAATATACCAGTCTGTACATAATTGGGCTCGAGGACAGTTATAACTGGATACTTTATCGAAGGTGGCCATTCATGTTCTACGATACGACTGCGCAGCAGAATCTTCGGGAATTTCTCTTCTTTCTCGCCTTTCTTTTTTGGCTTGATCGGAGCTTTTCTCAATTTAATCTGAGCAAACAGAGGAGTAGCTGGTTCGTCGATCTTCGGCTTGATCGGTTTTTGTTCTTTGATCGTGATCTTCATCAATTGCAACTTTACACCTTCTTTAACTTCTTCAACAGGTTTCTTTTTCTTTTTCACTTTCTTTTCCGGTTTCTCTATCACAGGTTCTTCAAGTTTCTCCAACGGTAATTCCTTTTTCAACTCCTCGAATTCTTGATCCAACTTTTCCAATTTAGCTATTTCCTTTTCTAAACGCTTTACCTTCTTCTTCTTGGGTTTGGGCAAAGTTGCAGCTTCTTCCACGTTGCGTGACAAAATGCCGTTTTGCACTTCGTTTGGTTCCAACTCCTCGATCTTCAAATATTTTATCGGTGAAGGCCATGCGACTGGAATGATTCGACTTCGTAAAAGAACTCGATGAAGCTTCTCTTTCTTCTCTACCGGTCGTTTCACTGTTGGAGTCTTGCGCAATTTGATTTGAGCAAAAAGAGGTTTGTCCGTAGATATTTCGTGTACTTCAAGTTTCGTAGATTCGAATTTCATAACTGTGGAGCGCATGCGTTTGAGTTTAGGCTTAGGCTTTTTAGCTTCTTCGACTGGAACTTCCTGAAGTTCAGGAACTTCGGGTTTCTCCTCCTCTTTACCCGGCACTTTCTTAGGAATTTTCTTCTTCACAATTTTCTTTGGTTTACCTTCTTTTGTGACAACCTCTTCCTCAGGTGTTTCATCCTCCTTTGGCTCGATCGGTTTTGGGACGGGCAGTGTTTTTACACTTTCTTCCACAATTTCTTCCATAGGACTCTCAGTGACAGTTGTGACGGGAGCTTTGTCTTGTTCTTCGACAGTAACAGCTTCTGTGACTTGCTGCTGTTTACCTTTACGCTTTACAACCTTCTTCTTAGTAACTTTCTTAGGTTTACCTTCATCAGTTGTTTCCTGAGTAACAGTAACTTGTTCACGAACTTCCTCCACTTCGTCTGGTTTTCCGTACTTTGGAGTAGGTAAAGCTTTTAGTGTTTCTTCAAGTATTTCTTCCGTGGGACCTTCAGTGACTGTGGTAACAGGAGCCTTTCCTGCTTCTTCGACAGTCATAATTTCGGATACTTGTTGCTCTTTTCCCTTGCGTTTGACAACTTTCTTCTTTGTAATTTTCTTTGGTTTTCCTTCTTTGGTTACTTCCTCAGTGACAGTTACTTGTTCGCGAACCTCCTCTACCTCAGTTGGTTTAACAAATTCAGGCATAACAAGTGGTTTCACTATATCTTCTACTATCTCTTCAACAGGACCCTCGGTAACACTTGTAACCGGTGTTTTTCCTGGTTCCTCAACTGTGACGACTTCTGTCACCTGCTGTTGTTTTCCTTTACGTTTGACCACCTTTTTCTTAGTTGTTTTCTTCGGTTTACCTTCTTCGGTTGTTTCTTGAGTAACTGTGACTTGTTCGCGAACTTCTTCGACTTCTGACGGTTTGGCATATTTCGGAGCTGGCAAGGCTTTTAGTGTTTCTTCAAGAATTTCTTCTGTGGGTCCTTCGGTGACAGTCGTGACTGGTGCCTTACCTAGTTCTTCCACAGTAACGATCTCACTCACTTGTTGTTCCTTTTCTTTACGTTTAATGATTTTCTTTTTGGTAACCTTCTTGGGTTTACCTTCTTTAGTAATTTCTTCTGTGACGGTTACTTGTGCACGTACTTCTTCAACCTCAGACGGTTTCCTGCGTATCGGAGTAGGCAATGCTTGGACCATTTCTTCGACTACTTCCTCCACTGGTCCTTCGGTCACCGTCGTGACCGGTGCCTTTCCTTCCTCCTCAACTGTTACCGTCTCTGTGACCTTCTGTTCTGGACCTTTGCGCTTGATAACTTTCTTTTTCGTAACCTTCTTCGGTTTACCTTCTTTGCTTACTTCCTGTGTGACAGTGACTTGTTCGCGCACTTCTTCTACTTCGTCTGGTTTAGCATATTCTGGTACAGGTAGAGTTTTTATCGTCTCCTCAACTATTTCTTCCTTAGGACCTTCAGTCACGGTCGTGACTGGAGCTTTACCCTCTTCTTCAACTGTTACAGTCTCGGACACTTGTTGCTCTCTTCCCTTTCGTTTAATTACTTTTACTTTGGTGACTTTCTTTGGTTTGCCCTCCTTGACGACTTCTTCTGTGATCGTCACCTGTGCCCTTATTTCTTCCCCTTCGGATGGACCAATAACTTCAGGCGCAGGCAGAGGTTGCAATGCTTCTTCGATAATTTCCTCTACAGGACCTTCAGTAACAGTTGTTACGGGGACTTTATCTTGTTCTTCAACAGTGACCACTTCAGTTACTTGTTGCTGGTCACCCTTGCGTTTAATGACTTTCTTCTTAGTAGTTTTCTTTGGTTTACCTTCTTTAGTGACTTCTTGGGTGACAGTGACTTGTTCCCGTACCTCTTCCTCATCGCCTGGTTTGGCATATTCGGGAGTAGGCAAAGCTTTTACTGTTTCTTCAAGTATCTCTTCTATCGGAGCTTCAGTGATAGTTGTAACAGGAGCTTTTCCTTGCTCTTCGACAGTAACGATTTCTGATACTTGCTGATCTCTACCTTTACGTTTTATAACTTTCTTCTTCGTAATCTTCTTCGGTTTACCTTCTCTAGTTATTTCTTCCGTTACTGTCACCTGCTCACGAATTTCTTCTACTTCAGATGGCTTGATTGCTTCTGGTGAAGTTTCTGGCAATGGTTTTATTACTTCTTCCACTAATTCTTCCGTGGGACCTTCAGTTATAGTTGTAACAGGAGCCTTCCCATGTTCCTCGATTGTGACAACTTCAGTCACTTGCTGTTCTTTTCCTTTACGTTTGGTGACTTTCTTTTTGGTAACCTTTTTAGGCTTACCCTCTTTCGTTACTTCTTCTGTGACAGTTACTTGCTCACGTACTTCTTCCACCTCTCCTGGTTTGGCATACTCAGATGGTATGAGTGGCTTCAATATTTCCTCAACAACTTCTTCAACTGGGCCTTCAGTTATTGTTTTCACAGGTCGTTTGCCTTGCTCTTCAACTGTTACCTCTTCCGTTACTTGCTGTTCTTTGCCCTTACGTCTGATGATCTTCTTCTTGATAGTTTTCTTTGGTTTACCCTCCTTGGTTATTTCTTCCGTGACAGTTACTTCTTCTCGAACACCTTCTACTTCAGACGGTTCAACGTATTCTAGAGCAGGCAAGGGTTTTATTATCTCTTCAACTATTTCTTCAACAGGTCCTTCAGTTACTGTTTTAACAGGTCGTTTGCCTGGTTCTTCGACTGTCACCTCCTCAGTTACCTGCTGCTTTTTGCCTTTGCGTTTGATGATTTTCTTTTTAGTAGTTTTCTTTGGTTTCCCTTCTGTGGTTATTTCCTCCGTGACTGTTACCTGCTCCCGTACTTCTTCCACCTCTCCAGGTTTGGCATACTCAGGTGCTATCAGTGGTTTCAATATTTCCTCAACAACTTCTTCGACTGGCCCTTCAGTCACTGTTGTAACTGGTCGTTTGCCTTGTTCTTCTACTGTCACCTCCTCAGTTACCTGCTGTTTTTTGCCTTTACGTTTGATAATCTTCTTTCTAGTAGTTTTCTTTGGTTTTCCTTCTCTTGTTATTTCTTCTGTGACAGTTACTTGTTCTCTAACTTCCTCTACTTCCGATGGTGTAACAAACTCTGGCGCAGGCAATGGTTTTATTGTTTCTTCGACTATTTCTTCGACAGGTCCTTCCGTTACTGTCTTAACAGGTCGTTTACCTTTCTCTTCAACCGTCACTTCTTCAGTTACTTGCTGTTCCTTGCCCTTACGTTTGATGATCTTCTTTTTAGTTGTTTTCTTTGGTTTCCCTTCTTTGGTTATTTCCTCCGTGACTGTTACCTGCTCCCGTACTTCTTCCACCTCTCCAGGTTTGGCATACTCAAGTGCTATCAGTGGTTTCAATATTTCTTCAACAACTTCTTCGACAGGTCCTTCGGTTACTGTTGTAACTGGTCGTTTGCCTTGCTCTTCAACTGTTACCTCCTCAGTTACCTGCTGCTTTTTGCCTTTACGTTTGATAATCTTCTTTCTAGTAGTTTTCTTTGGTTTTCCTTCTCTTGTTATTTCTTCTGTGACAGTTACTTGTTCTCTAACTTCCTCTACTTCCGATGGTGTAACAAACTCTGGCGCAGGCAATGGTTTTATGGTTTCTTCGACTATTTCTTCGACAGGTCCTTCCGTTACTGTCTTAACAGGTCGTTTACCTTTCTCTTCAACCGTCACTTCTTCAGTTACTTGCTGTTCCTTGCCCTTACGTTTGATGATCTTCTTTTTAGTTGTTTTCTTTGGTTTCCCTTCTTTGGTTATTTCCTCCGTGACTGTTACCTGCTCCCGTACTTCTTCCACCTCTCCAGGTTTGGCATACTCAAGTGCTATCAGTGGTTTCAATATTTCTTCAACAACTTCTTCGACAGGTCCTTCGGTTACTGTTGTAACTGGTCGTTTGCCTTGCTCTTCAACTGTTACCTCCTCAGTTACCTGCTGCTTTTTGCCTTTACGTTTGATAATCTTCTTTCTAGTAGTTTTCTTTGGTTTTCCTTCTCTTGTTATTTCTTCTGTGACAGTTACTTGTTCTCTAACTTCCTCTACTTCCGATGGTGTAACAAACTCTGGCGCAGGCAATGGTTTTATGGTTTCTTCGACTATTTCTTCGACAGGTCCTTCCGTTACTGTCTTAACAGGTCGTTTACCTTTCTCTTCAACCGTCACTTCTTCAGTTACTTGCTGTTCCTTGCCCTTACGTTTGATGATCTTCTTTTTAGTTGTTTTCTTTGGTTTCCCTTCTTTGGTTATTTCCTCCGTGACTGTTACCTGCTCCCGTACTTCTTCCACCTCTCCAGGTTTGGCATACTCAGGTGCTATCAGTGGTTTCAATATTTCCTCAACAACTTCTTCGACTGGACCTTCAGTTACTGTTGTAACTGGCCGTTTGCCTTGTTCTTCTACTGTCACCTCCTCAGTCACCTGCTGTTTTTTGCCTTTACGTTTGATAATCTTCTTTTTAGTAGTTTTCTTTGGTTTCCCTTCTCTTGTTATTTCTTCTGTGACAGTTACTTGTTCTCTAACTTCCTCTACTTCCGATGGTGTAACAAACTCTGGCGCAGGCAATGGTTTTATTGTCTCTTCGACAATTTCTTCGACAGGTCCTTCAGTTACTGTCTTAACAGGTCGTTTACCTTTCTCTTCAACCGTCACTTCTTCAGTTACTTGCTGTTCCTTGCCCTTACGTTTGATGATCTTCTTTTTAGTTGTTTTCTTTGGTTTCCCTTCTTTGGTTATTTCCTCAGTGACTGTTACCTGCTCCCGTACTTCTTCCACATCTCCAGGTTTGGCATACTCAGGTGCTATCAGTGGTTTCAATATTTCCTCAACAACTTCTTCGACTGGCCCTTCAGTCACTGTTGTAACTGGTCGTTTGCCTTGTTCTTCTACTGTCACCTCCTCAGTTACCTGCTGTTTTTTGCCTTTACGTTTGATAATCTTCTTTCTAGTAGTTTTCTTTGGTTTCCCTTCTCTTGTTATTTCTTCTGTGACAGTTACTTGTTCTCTAACTTCCTCTACTTCCGATGGTGTAACAAACTCTGGCGCAGGCAATGGTTTTATTGTCTCTTCGACAATTTCTTCGACAGGTCCTTCAGTTACTGTCTTAACAGGTCGTTTACCTTTCTCTTCAACCGTCACTTCTTCAGTTACTTGCTGTTCCTTGCCCTTACGTTTGATGATCTTCTTTTTAATAGTTTTCTTTGGTTTCCCTTCCTTTGTTATTTCCTCAGTGACAGTTACCTGTTCACGCACCTCCTCCACATCGCCTGGTTTTGCATACTCAGGCGCTGGAAGAGGTTTCAGTGTCTCTTCAAGTACTTCTTCGACAGGTCCTTCGGTTACAGTTGTAACGGGTCGCTTTCCTTCTTCTTCCACTGTTACGACTTCCGTTACCTGTTGTTCTTTGCCTTTACGTTTAATCACTTTTTTCTTCGTCACCTTTTTAGGCTTGCCTTCTCTAGTAATTTCTTGAGTAACCGTCACTTGTTCTCTGACTTCTTCTACTGCAATTGGTTTTAGTTTCTCTGGAGTAGGGAATGGTTTCACAAATTCCTCAACAACTTCTTCTACTGGCCCTTCTGTAACTGTTGTGACTGGAGCTTTGCCGTCTTCTTCCACTGTAACTACTTCCGTTACCTGCTGTTCTTTGCCTTTACGTTTAATAATCTTTTTCTTGGTGGTTTTCTTAGGTTTCCCTAATTTAGTTATTTCCTCTGTCACAGTCACTTGCTCACGAATTTCCTCTACTTCTGTGGGCTTAACATATTCTATCATTGGCAATGGTTTTACTATTTCTTCTACCAATTCTTCTATTGGCCCTTCAGTTACCGTCGTAACAGGCCTTTTACCTTGTTCTTCGACAGTAACAACTTCTGTAACCTGTTGTTTTCTTCCTTTACGTTTAATCACCTTCTTCCTAGTTATTTTCTTCGGCTTGCCTTCTCTTGTAATTTCCTGCGTTACTGTAACTTGCTCTCGAATTTGTTCCACTTCTGATGGTTTAGCATATTCTGGCAAGGGCAATGGTTTTAAAACTTCTTCAACTACTTCTTCTAATGGACCTTCTGTGACGGTTGTAACTGGTGCTTTTCCTTTTTCTTCAACTGTAACGACTTCTGTTACTTGTTGCTCTTTACCTTTGCGTTTGATGACTTTCTTCTTAGTTACTTTTTTAGGTCTACCTTCTTTGGTAACTTCTTCAGTTACAGTCACTTGTTCCCTTACTTCCACTACTTCGGTTGGTTCGATACGCACAGGTTTGGGCAGTGGTTTTATAGTCTCCTCGATTACTTCTTCCACTGGTCCTTCAGTCACCGTCGTGACTGGAGCTTTTCCTTCCTCTTCAACTTTTACTGTTTCTGTAACCTTCTGTTCTGAGCCTCTGCGTTTGATCACTTTCTTTTTCGTGATCTTTTTAGGCTTACCTTCTTTGGTTATTTCCTGTGTAACTGTCACTTGCTCTTGGACTTCTTCCTCTTCACCTGGTTTAGCATATTCCGGGGCAGGTAAAGCTTTTATCATTTCCTCAACTATTTCTTCTGTAGGACCTTCAGTAACGGTGGTAACAGGCGCTTTACCCTGTTCTTCAACAGTTATTACTTCAGACACTTGTTGCACTTTTCCTTTGCGTGTGATTACTTTTTTCTTGGTCACTTTCTTGGGCTTGCCTTCTCGAGTCACTTCTTCTGTGACAGTTACTTGTTCTCGAATCTCTTCAACTTCGCTAGGTTTAATTCTCTTCGGAATTGGTAATGGTGTCACTAATTCCTCCACAACTTCTTCAATGGGACCCTCAGTGACTGTCGTCACTGGAGATTTTCCTTGTTCCTCTACAGTTGTGACTTCTGTTACCTGCTGTTCATTCCCTTTACGTTTAATGACTTTCTTCTTAGTAACTTTCTTAGGCTTGCCTTCTTTGGTAACCTCTTCAGTAACTGTTACTTGTTCCCTGACTTCCTCCACTTTGGTTGGCTTCACTTTCTCGAGTGTAGGTAATGGTGTTATGAATTCTTCTACAACTTCTTCGACCGGACCCTCGGTGACAGTCGTCACTGGTGCCTTTCCTTGTTCCTCTACAGTTACAACTTCTGTTACCTGTTGTGTTGTACCTTTACGTTTAATAATCTTTTTCTTAGTGGTTTTCTTCGGCTTTCCTAACTTAGTTACTTCCTCTGTCACAGTCACCTGCTCACGAACTTCCTCTACTTCTGATGGTTTGGCATATTCTGGTATTGGCCATGGTTTTATGATTTCTTCTACCATTTCTTCCGTTGGTCCTTCAGTTACAGTCGTTACAGGAGCTTTACCTTGCTCCTCAATAGTAACTACTTCTGTCACCTGTTGCTGCTTGCCTTTACGTTTGATTACTTTCTTTTTGGTAACCTTCCTTGGTTTACCTTCTCTCGTTACTTCTTCTGTAACAGTCACCTGTTCTCTTACTTCTTCAACTTCGGTGGGTTTAATTTTTTCCAGAATAGGCAATGGTTTTATAACTTCCTCCACCACTTCCTCGGTGGGCCCTTCTGTAACTGTTGTTACTGGAGCCTTGCCTTCTTCTTCAACTGTCACAATTTCTGTAACTTGTTGTTCCGAACCCCTACGTTTGGTAATCTTCTTTTTTGTTGTCTTCTTTGGTTTACCAAACCTGCTAATTTCTTGAGTAACTGTAACTTGTTCACGAACTTCTTCAACCTCGCCTGGTGTCGCGTATTCCGGTGCTGGTAACGGTTTAATAGTTTCATCGACGACTTCTTCGACAGGTCCTTCGGAAACAGTAGTAACTGGAGCTTTACCTTGTTCTTCCACAGTGACAACTTCCGTTACTTGCTGTTCCTTTCCTTTACGTTTAATTACCTTCTTCTTGATTGTTTTCTTAGGTTTACCCTCTCTACTTACGTCTTCGGTTACTGTAACTTGTTCACGCACTTCCTCTATCTCTGAAGGTTGCATAAATTCAGGTTTTACTGCTTCTTCTACTATTTCCTCTACCGGTCCTTCAGTTACCGTTGTCACTGGCTCCTTTCCATCCTCTTGAACCGTCACTATTTCTGTCACTTTTTGTTCTTGACCTTTACGTTTGATAACTTTTCTCTTAACCGTCTTTCTCGGTTTACCTTCTCTGGTTACCTCTTGAGTAACAGTTACTTGTTCGCGAACTTCTTCAACCTCTCCTGGCTTAGCATATTCAGGCGCAGGTAAGGGCTTAATCGTTTCATCAACCACCTCTTCTACAGGACCTTCGGTCACAGTTGTTACCGGCACCTTCCCTTGCTCTTCAACCGTAACAACTTCAGTCACTTGCTGTTCTTGACCTTTGCGCCTTGTAATCTTCTTTCTCGTGGTCTTTTTAGGTTTACCCAATTTAGTTATTTCTTCTGTTACTGTCACTTGTTCTCGCACTTCCTTAACTTCGGACGGTGTTATAAATTCGGGTACTGGTAATGGTTTGATAACATCTTCGACCACTTCTTCTACAGGTCCTTCGCTAACGGTTGTTACTGGCGCTTTACCTTCCTCCTCCTCTGTTACTACTTCTGTCACTTGCTGTTCTTTACCCTTTCGCTTAATAACTTTCTTCTTGGTTACTTTCCTAGGTTTACCTTCTTTAGTAACGACTTCAGTGACTGTCACTTGCTCTCTGACCTCTTCTACCTCAGAGGGTTTAACACTTTCTGGAGTAGGCAGAGGTTTGATGATCTCCTCTACTACCTCCTCGACAGGTCCTTCTGTAACTGTTGTGACTGGAGCTTTGCCCTGTTCTTCAAC